AAAAGACTTGTAATTTGGAAGCCGTGGTTGAAAAGTCAGGAAGTTTCATCAGACCTTTCAATTTCAAGGTGACTCTTTTCCATCAGGAACTAACATCTGTTTAGAAACAGTGAGGAAGTAGCATTATTCTAACTACAGTAAAAAAAAAAAAACCTGTCATAACTCGAGAAGATTGCCTTAAAAATACAATTGAATAGAATAGAGCGTTGTTTAATTTCAACGTTAATAAGTCCCCAGGCCTGACCTGCTGCAGTTCCATCCTCTACTTCCAGCAGTTTGGCTGTCTAAGCTACAACCAAACCTTCCCTTCCCAGCTATGGTTTGGCGCCATCTGGTGGAAATTTGACTCTGTCTTAAAAAGCAAATTGCTGATTCTGGGTCCTGTGGCTGGATGCAGAAGACTTCCAAGATGGGAATAGCGATTTCTGAAACACTCCAGTTATTTGATGTCTCTTTCATCACCCCATCCAGAGAATTTGACCCATGAGAATATTTGGAGATTACGGAATCTATTCTCTCTATTGCTCCCAATATGAAGGTTGAGAGTACAGCAGCCAATCCCCAATCACATTATATCCAAATTGGTGTTGTCATAGGATTTTACTGAATTTATGCCCATCCATAAAGTCCTGATTGAATCTTCATCTTGGAGACTAATGGTAGAGTCACTTATTCATGCAGAAGCTGACTTTTATTTAATTTCCTAGCAGACCATCCTTTTAGTTTTTATGGTCTTTAATTTGGGATTATTCTAAAGTTCTACTAGGTACCCCACCTCTTTTTAAGTTTATTATCTTTTTCATATCAAGGTTTTGAGTTCCTCAGCTTAGTTTTGCTTCATTATCCACTGCCCTGTTTGCTTTATAACTTTCAGAATCTCTTTACCATGATTATCTGTTGCTGGGAGTGGTAGTTTGAATTTAGTTTTATTTTTTATTTTTATGCAGTTTCACATTTTAGAATTTTCTAAGGGTTAGTTGAATTTTTTATTTTTTTTTTATATTTCTCTGACCTTTTCAAAGAGATTTGGAGGAGGAGAAGTAAACATATATAAGTGGTCACCTTGATAGGGAGTTTCTGTTCTTTTTTTTAAATAGGTGAATTTATCCATCTTCATTCTATCTCAACACCAATCACTCTGTTTCCCACTCTGTTTGGACTGAATGGTTGTGTTCTGCCAAAACATATGTTGAAGCCGTAACCCCCAATGTGATGGTATTTGGAGATGGGGCTTTTGGGAGGTAATTAGGGTGAGGTGAAGTCATTTGGGTGGGGCTCTCATGAGAGCTTGCTCGCTCTGTCTCTGACTCTCTCTCTCTCTCTCTCTCTCTCTCTCTCTTTCTCTCATTGCATTGCTGTGGAATATACAATGTGAAGGCAAGTGTCTACAAACCAGAGGCTCTTGACCTTTGACTTCCCATCCTCCAGAACTGTTACAAATAAATGTCTGTTGTTTAAGCCTCCCATACTATGGTATTTTGTTATAGTAGCCCAAGCTAATACACACTCTATGCTCTCTCAGATTTCTGAAGTATCGGCCTGTTTCCTTTGTTTGTGATGCCTCACTTTTTTCATTTCAAATAAGTTTTTTCAGTGTTTAGAAAGGCTCCTCTGACTTCCAGCAGCCCTCTGATAAAAAAAAAAAAGGTGCTTGTGAAGATACTTTCAACCCCACTCTACTAAAACACCACAATTTTTATGCAAATGTTTGTTACCTTACAAATGGAACTTTTCTAACTAAACGGAATAGTAGCATTTATAAACATTTTCTTTTTTCAGTTTTTAAGAAGACTTTAGATTACTCAAGGATTGCCATTTAAAGTTTTGTATTATATAGTAAGACAATGTACTGGAACACATAGATGTTAGGCAATAGTGGTTTGTATCTATTTTCAAATTTTTTTTATTCCATGTTTATTGGGATTCTATCTCATTTTACTCCTCTCTGCTTCAGTTTTATTTATTTATTTATTGGTTTGTTATTTTCTTTTTTTACTTGTAAAAGTAGACCATTGGCTTAAATACTCTGTGTTTTGTCCTAGGGTTAAAACTATTATAACTATGTTTTTATCACCAATAACTTATCTGTATAATACTTTACTACTTACAAAACACTTTTGTATGCTATCAATTAAATTCCCAATAGCTTTGAAAGACAAAGATTATAATTAATCATTTCACTAATAAGAGAAATCAAGCTTTAAATAATTTGTCCAAGTGATAAAAATTGGTAGGTAATGGAGCTAAGATTCAAACCTGGAATCTTTGATTCCAAAGTTCATGTTCTCTCTACCATGTGTCAGTATTTCCTCATCTGGGAGATCAGTGATGTATCTAATTATTGTTTTCCCCATAAGTCTCTCATTTAACAGCTTCTTTTACATCAGGTTATACTCTTTCTAAGGTGGAAAAAACCTATTGTACACATTGTTTCTCTTAAGCCATTCCCAAAAGCTAGTTCTACCTTCCAAAAGGTCCTCCCTAAACATGTGAGAAATTTCATACTACTCTGCTTTCCAGTCTCTCTTCTTTGAAAATGGGAAGTTTCTCAATTATGGAAAAGGTGCCAGAATCACTAAGGAGAGATGATGGCAGGGATTCTGAGAAAGGGAAAGCCGCTTGGTGCAACAGCATGGTTTCCAGATTAGCTCTCTAACTCCAGAAAGGCCCAGACAACTCCAGAGAAGCAGGAGAGATAACAAGAGAGAGTTTTGGGACTAGAAGGAGTTCAAGCTTAGATACCAGATGAAACTGGGTTGATGTTTTGCCCTCCTCTGACTAGGTGAGTAACCTTGCTCAACTTTGCAGACCAATTGGAGCCTAGGATTTCTTATCTGCAAAATATCTACAACACATGACACTGGAGAGGTTAAAATGCTGCAAACGTATAAAAAGTATTTAATTTAAGAGCATTGATAGAATTCGGTAACATTATGCCTGACTATACACACCAGATAGTTCAGCTGAAACTAAATTAAATCTCTGCCCCCATCTGCACCCATTTATAATTCTGTCATCTAAAAAATATTCTGGACTATGATTTTTAAAAAATCTTTAGTGCTATCAATACAGTAAAATAAATAATATCAAACTGTATGCTTTGACGTGAGAAACCCATGCTTGCATTGAACAAATTCTTCTGTGCAGCGAATATTTATATAGCATCTGCTAGTGTTCAGTGCTGGGGAGCAAGACAAATATTTTCTTGCTCCTCATGGAGTTTATATTTTATTTACATTTCCATTTAATTGTCTACATAAAGTGTGAATGCACTTTTTGGGAAAATCTTGCCATTGATAAGTCAAAATTTACTTTTAACTTTGATATAAACTTCTCTTGACAACTCTAACTCCCACAAGTATAACAAGGCAATAGATATGTTTGGCAGAGCAACTATTTATGTCCTGTCTTCTGTGTTGCCAGGGTGATGGTAGCAATATTGAAAACATTGGAGGTGGTTGTTATTGGCAAGGATCCTGACTTTCATTTCCAAATGGAAGGACTGTAAAAAGCAAAATGTAGGCTAGGGTGTGGGCAGTGACTGGCCATGGCTATACATAAACTAGATGAATGGATTATTGGTGATTGACTCAATATGGATACTATTCTTGGAATGGTGATGCTGATAAGAAATATTTCCTTAATATTTGTAAAAGTATAAAATTTTAGTGATTACATCCAATATTTGGGTTTCTTTTTATAAAGCTACAAGCATATCATTGCATGTTTTCAAAAGTTATGTTTTTTTGCTAATTTTTAACAATTCAAAAGGTATATTGAGCTTTTGGTCTTTCCTCTAAATAAGATTTGAAATGTTGCCACAGTACAAGTTCAGCTTCTGAAGAATTTTTAAAACATATTGATTATATGCTTTAAAGAGAATAAGTGATCATATACTAACCCTGAAAAGAAAAAGTCACCTATTAAGTCAGCTGAATTTTGTCTTATTTGAAAGCACCACATTCATGTAAATATATGAAGCATGAGGTAAGTAATTGGTGACTTTTTTGCTCTCACCAACTTCGTTCAACTAGTCCCTAGCACTTTTGTACTAGATTGATTTTAAAGACTCCTTGTGAGGAATGCTGTATACCGACTCTATCAAACTCCGTATCCTCTTCCTGACTGTGCAGTGAGAGATACTGTGATGTGGAGAACAAGACACAGAGGGAGATTAGGATTAAAGAGATAGAGACTAAAACTGTCTTTCTTAGATTTCTTTGCAGCTTTGTTTCTTTTTTTTTTAGGTTTCAAATGTATTTTATTTCTTCAATTATGCTGTAATGAGCAGCAGTGTGCTTAGATGACAAGTTGGTTTTGAAATCATTCTATATTTTAGCAACTGTAATGGCTACTGAGCTTTCTTTTATCAAAAAATTTTAAACATTTATTCGAGTTTTAGAATAGGTAATACATTTACATGTTTCAAAATCATGAAGAATACAAAGCTCTACAATAAAAAGCCTCTTTCCAGTTCTAATCCACCCAGTTCCCATCACTCTTCATTAGGTAACTACCGTTACATTTGTTTCTGTGTAATCTTCCTGATATTTTTAATGCATAAACAAGAAATTTTGAATATATTCTTTTGCCTCACTTTTAAAAACATGATGGTATACAATGTGTGCAATTTTCCATGTTGATATTTTCACTTAATAATATGTCAATTTTTAATTTTTATTTATTTAATTATTTTTATCAACAAGGCAAAGAGGGAACTATCTGAATGGGAGAATAGATTTGCAAACGATGCCTCTGATAAGGGCCTAATATGGAAAATATATAAAGAACTCATACAACTCAAGGATTTTAAAAAATCCAATTAAAAAATGGGCTGAGGACCTGAACAGGCACTTCTGCCGAGGAGACATACAAATGGCCAACAGGCGTATGAAAGATGCTCAATTTCACTAGCCATTAGGGAAATACAAATCAAAACTACGGTGAGATACCACCTCACACCTGTTAGAATGGCTGTTATCAGCAGCTTACTGATCTTTTTACTCCTTTGGGATGACTCTACCAAAGGACAGGTTCCATTCTATTCCAATCTGTGTGATGACAAGTATTGATACAAAGCAGAAGGTGGTTTTGCTGGCTAGCATGGTATTACCATATTTGTCATGAAAATCTGGTGAATATTTTATATAGCTCTGTCTTGCCAAAATTTGCTGAATGCTTCGATTCTTGAGACTGCGTAGTACATTTCTAGCCAAGGGAAACAACATGTGAGAGAATTGCACTTGATGGTAGCTACTGGTCTCTTTCATTGCAAGGAGACCTGTAGGAATTCAGAAATCCAAATGCTCTCCTCAGAAAGTTCAAGATTCAGCATCTATTACCAGCTATTATAAACAATACATTTTGGGAAAGGCCAAATGGAAGAGATGCATAGGACATGCGCCCTCTTGGTGAACTGCTCTCCCAGCACCTCCATGTATTCATTAACCTAGAAGCTCCTCTGCTGGGTTTCTTGATGCAAATTAGGTTTTGCCAATTATATATATATTTCATTGTTTTTTCATACAATCTGTTTCTCTCTTTCCCAGATTCACTTATTCATAATCCAGTATATTTAACATACATATTTTCTTACATTTCTCTCCTCTTTGACTTGAAAGGCAGGAATAATATGGAGACATTTTATATGTTTGACCTGTATTACTTGTTTCTGTTGATAATCAAAGTCATATTGATATAAAGTTTTACAGTTTTAAAACTTTTCTGCAGGTTTAGTGTCTATTTTCTAGACTCTTGAATTTTTGAGACGCATTGTACAGTCAGCACTAGAGGCCCACTAGAGCTCACTTCTCCAACTGTTTCAGCAATTTTAAATTACCTAATCTGCTCTAAGTCACTATCTGCTCAAAATACCTAAAGTGGTTTTGGTTTTCTGTACTAAACATTTTCTAATATATATCTCATGCCCTGCTCCACTTAAAAATGTCAATACCTAACCACTCTTTATGGGAAAGTATCCAAATAATGAGCATCATATTAAAGGGGGTGTATAATGACATTGTCCTCATAATTATAGATGTACTTTTCATTGTTTTTCCATACAATTTGTTTCTCTCTTTCCCAGATTCACTTATTCATAATCCAGTATATTTAACATACATATTTTCTTACATTTCTCTCCTCTTTGACTTGTTCATTGAAATCTACCTTTGTTCAAATTCTTATTCTAACCCTACCCTTATAAGTCCCCTATGATCATCTACCCAAAATTGATTTCTTTCTTAGATAAACTAAGCTAATGCTTGTGTTTCTTTAGAATTATGTGAACTTCTTCAACACCATTGAATGTCAAGTAAACTCCCCCAATTTAGACTATTTGTTTATTTACCCCAAATTTATCAGGTACGTAATCATGAGCCAGTCATTGAGCTAGACACTGAAGTGAGCTATAAAAATAACAGTCCCTGTCTTAATGATCCTTATATCTTGGTATATATTTTATTAATACATATCCATCAAGAATGAATGAGAAAATATCACCAAAATGATTTTGCTAGCAAAGAGATGAACATAATGAACAAATAATTTGTCATAGATGAGAGTTGTAAAAAAAACCTTTGCCATTAAATGAAAATGTAGAAGAAGCAGGGTTTTAACAGGTCCTGCATTAAACTCTAAGGGTACCTCTGGAAGTGTATGAGGGTATCAATAAATAAAACCCTATACAAAATTTTTACTTAATTATCTACATGTATTTTTTTTTTCTTTTCTAAGGGGGTGGTGGTGGTGCTGGTGCTGGTGGTAGAAAGAATTCATAACTTTTACTAAGTTTCCAGAGTGGTTCCCAATGAAAGTTAAGAAATACCATTGCAACATAGTGATATAAGTATCAACACTAAATAGATCTATGAGAACATATTCTATTTATAATTACAAAAAAACACATTCATCATTCTCTATTAAATAAGAAAACCATGGTTTTAAAGATGGACTAGATAAACCACTTAAATAAGTATCGATTTAGACATCTCTACCCTGGATAAAGTCAAAAGGGGCCTCAGGCAGTGATTCCCATGGACCTGATTTGCTGGCAGAAAACTTTTCCTTGTATCAGCAATTCGTTTTATCTTTATTATTATTATTAATTATTATTATTATTTTAAATTTGAGGTGATTATAAGTGAGATATAGTTCTGAGATCTACTGTTTTCCCAAGTTTAAAAGTTCTAATAAATAAAAAGTCATAAAAACTAATTTTCTCTTTCTCCATCTAACTCCCAGAAGGCACAATTATTTGGGTCTCACTGGTGATAGCAGAGATATCACAGTAGGATTATCTAATGAATAACCATCTTCATTGCACAAAATTGGTACTTCTTCCTTAGGCAATGTTAGAAGATTGCCTTATGATCATATTGTTTATGAGATTATTTTGTTATCTATTAATTTATATGAGTATAGAAAAATAAATCTGTATAATTTAGAATCAAAAGCAAAAAAGTAAAATATGTACATATATATGAGATAATAAACACATTTCTAAATAATATAATACATACATCTATAGTCAATGTCATATTTGATATATGGCACACATTTCAAAAACTGATTTATTAAATTTTTCAAAAAATAGACCAACCTGGACAATCATTTGATTATATATAATATACTTGCATTTTCTCTCCTTAAATAATCTGCCCAGCATTTGTTTATATTATATGATGCTGGAAATGTCTTTATACAATTACTGCATCTCCAAGTGAAACTTTTTCTGAAAATCTTGAAATTAGAAGATTTTCTGATAGATTGAGACTACCCAGAATGAACATATCTGTAGGAAAATTAATTGACTTTAAAAACAAAATAAAACAAACACCACATCAAAAGGAAAGGAGAAACAGAAATGTGAGAAATGAAGGCTGTGGACTTCGTGGCAGAGTATATTGGTTGTCCTCTAACTCTAGCCTTTCATCTTTTTGATGGATGATCAGTCTACATTTCTCCAGTTCTCTTGCAGTCGAGTGTCATCCTGTGATTGATTTATCTTGAATGGAATGGGATGGAAGTATTAAGCCAACTCCTAGGACTGTTTTTAGACCTCCACATTCTCCTCCCACTTCTACTCAGAGCTGACCATGAAGATGATATCAATGCTTTAGAGAAGGAGCTTTTTAACTCTTAGCATGGGGGTACCACTGGATGAAATTCAATGTGTCCGTGCAATTTGAATAGTAAAAAATTTTGTCTTCATTTTTATTAGTTTAGTATTTTTGTTTGTTGAAACATAGATAATAATTTATACTTATGGCTTTGGCAAAAATAAAAATCACAGATATTTTCAAATCATATTACAGTCATAAGTAGATATCTTAAAATAGTTTTTATGTACATAATTGCTTCAAACTTATGGTATTTATAACATAACATAGACTTTTTAAAACTTTTTTAAATTGTATATTTTCAATTACCATTGACATTCAATATTTTTTTAGTTTCAGTTGCACAGCACAGTGGTTGGACATTTATATAGCTTACAAAATGATTCACCCGATAAGTCTCGCACCCACCTGACACCATGTGTAGTTATTACAATATTATTGACTATATTCCCTAAGCTATAATTTATATCCCCATAACTATTTTCTCACTGCCAGTTTGTATTTAATACCTTCACCTTTTTACCTAGCCCCCAACCCTCTCCCATTTGGCAACCATAGTTTGTTTTCTGCATCTATGAATTTGCTTCTGTTTTGCTTGCTTACTTGCTTGCTTGCTTATTTATTTATTTATTTATTTACTTATTTATTTATTTGACTTCACATATAAGTGAAATCATATGATATTTGTCTTTCTCTGTCCAACCTATTTCACTTCATACAATACCCTCGAGGTTCATCCATGTTGTCACAAATTGTAAGATATATTGTTTTTATGGCTGAGTAATATTGCACTGTATATGTATATGTACCACTTCTTTTGATTGAAGCATTTAATCTATACTTCATTATTGATAGATATGTAGTTATTACCATTTTATTGTTTTCTTATTGTTTTTGTAGTTCTCTCTTCCTTTCTTATTCTTTTGCTCTCTCCTCTTGTATGTTGTTGACTTTTGTAGTGTTGTGTTTGGATTCCTTTCTCTTGATTTCTTGTATATCTCCTGTATATTTTTGGTTTGTGGTTACCACATGCTTCATATATACCAAGCTATATTTATAGCAGTCTATTTTAAGTTGATGCTTGCTTAAGTTTGAACACATTCCATAACCATTATCATTTTTACTTACCTCCTTCACATTTATGTTTTTGTCATTGTTTTTTACTTTATGTATGTGTATTTGTTTATCTCTTAATTTACTATTTTAATTACACATGATCTAATTTGCCTTTTAAATTTTGTACTCTCTTTAGTGTTGGTTGATCTACTGCTTTTATTATGTTTGCTTTTGTCATTAAGAATTTTTTTTACGATATTTTCTTATTCACATTTTTTATTTTATTCCTTCTTCTTAAAGATATCTCTTTAACATTTCTTGTAATACTAGTTTGGTGTTGATGAACTCCTTCAGCTTTTTCTTGTCTGGGATGCTCTTTATCTCCCCTTCAGTTCTAAATGATAGCCTTACTGGGTAGAATAATGTTAATTATAGGTCCTTGCTTTTCATCACTTTGAATGTTTAGTGCCAATCCCTTCTGAACTTCAAAGTTTCATTGAGAAATCAACTGACAGTCTTGTGAAAGCTCCCCTGTAGTTACTAACTGCTTTTCTCTTGCTGCTTTTTAAGAGTCTCTCTTTGTATCTAACCCTTGGCATTTTAGTTATGATGTGTCTTGTGGTCCTCTTTGGGTTCGTCTTGTTTGGGACACTATGCTTCCTGGGCTTGTATGTCTATTATCTTCATCAGGTTAGAAAAGTTTTTCGTCATTATTTCTTCAAATACATTTTCAATTTCTTGCTCTCTCTCTTCTCATTCTGGTATCCCTATGACGCAAATGCTAGTATGCTTGATGTTGTCCCAGAGGCCCCTTAAACTATCTTAATTTTTTTTTTTTTTGATTCTTTTTTCTTGTTGCTGTTCTGATTGGATGTTTTCTGCAACCTTATTTTCCAGATTGCTGACTTGATCCTCTGCTTCATCTGCTGTTGATTCCCTCTAATGTAGTCTTAATTTCTGTTGTATTCTCCATTTCTGACTGGTTCTTATTTATGTTTTCTATCTCCATTTTTAAGTTTTCTTTCTCTTTGTTAAAGGTCTGAGTTCATCTA